ATGTACTGAAAATATTAAGAGTCATATTTGATTAATGCTGAAGAAGGAGAATGCTATTGGGAGAAGGGAAGATCAAGGAAATATATTATTAATTAATATACTAATTATGGAATTACAAAAATTAATTATTATTGACTGTTAATTAACTACCGTACTATTGTTTTTTTCAAAATATATGAACCAAGTCAACACGCTGTATACTAGGCAAAAAGGATTGTTATTGTAAAAAAATCAATAAAACATTTCTAAAAAAAAAAAGATAAATTGGTATAAGGTAAATAGGTAAAGGTCAGCTGCAAAAAAAGCTTAAAAAAAGAATAAGAAAATGCCTCCAGCTTTCCCCAATGTAGTAATCATTAAAAAATTCAAACAATTGATATAATACAATTGCAGTTAAACCTGCCCCGCCCCAGCCTTTTATTTACTTTAGACACCAAATTAATTTCTTTGGTTGATTTGGTCATTGCAAATAATGTTTTGGTTTTTTGGTATGCGTATGTGTGTGCGTGTGTGTGTATGTGTCTGTGTTGAAATGTTTACTTTGTACAGTGTTTCAAAAATAGAAAAAACTGCAAATACAAATCAATTTTTCATAAAAGAATGAACCACAAGATACAATCTATATTGTGAAGTAAGCAGAGAAGTAACTGTTCTTTTATCAGTGCCTGAAAAGAAAACAAATAGGAGTCTGCCAGATGTTAAGCATTCCTCAGCATCAAAAAATACTAATATATTAAACATGCAAAAAAGGTTTCTACAGAGTAGATAATGGCAGCCAGAAATTTTGCTCCTTAGAGAATACTAACCTGTAGTCTGTCTTCTTTTTTTCTGTAATTTTTTCCTTACAAGTGCAAGATGAAACTATGCAAAACTTTATATATAATACTTTGTATTATTATGGGTGGTTGTACAGTCAGCAAATTAGACTAGATTTGATATTTTTGTCTAGCTATTAAATCCTTTCCAAGGATCTTTGTGGTTATTATTATGGATGAGTTATCTGGTTAGATTCACAATCTAAGGCAGGTGGAAACTTAACAATTTAAATCCTAATCAAGGCTTTAAGAATTTTTATTTTCTATTTTTATTATATTGGCTGACTCTAAGATCACTCATGGAATAAAAGGCTTCATCCACCCTTGTTTGAAGCCCTGGAGAAGAACTACTAGCCCAGTTTTTAAGGCAGGAGGAGGAGGCATGATTAACATTGATATAATACTGAAATAAAAATTAATTGATGAGTTAAGATAATAATTCCATTTATTTTTGAAAGATATAAAAAAACTCCCAAAAACATTTTTTAAAAAAATAATTATTCTTTTAGAATAATTATTTGAACTGATTTGAACCATTTGAGTTGACTGTCATCTTTTCAAAATGCTCACAATATTATGACCAAAATTATTGATGGCAATCAATCATAAATCAAGGTCAACATTTCATTCCAAATTGATTTCTGACATACTAACAATACCCGATGTTTAAACTGAAGGAGAAAATAATTTATTTTTGGAATGAAATATGATGAACAGATCTCTGGGTCTAACAGGCCTTAAAATAAGTAAAACTAAGATACATTTAGCAGTTTTGGCATTGGAGTGGCACTATATTTTAAATAAATAAGTAGGCTTCGGGTTAAAGGCAGAAATTCAAGTGTTCCATGGTTGGGCAACTGTTGTCTTCTCATATTTTTTTGATAAAATAAAAACATTTTCTATATAGAAATATTATGAATAATAAATCACAAGAGTATTTATGAGGTTTTTTTAAAGAATAACATGGACAGACATTTCTTCTCAGTATATCGAGCATTAAGGTCACTCAATAGGATATCATGCCTGTTAATGTATGTTAGTTCTTACATTACCTATATATTTGTTCAAAATATTTGTTCAAAATATTGTTCAAAATATTGAATTTTGAGAAAAATGTTTCATAGTCCATGCAAATAAATAATCAGAGATGATGATGCTTGTCATGGACATATAAATATCTAGTTGTACATTCAATTGGTCGCATTTGGGTGGTCAAATGATTTATTTCTATGATTAAACCCTATGGCAGGGGTGTCAAACTCAATTTCATTGAGGGCCACATCAGCACTGCGGTTGCCCTTGGGGGGGCGGGTGGGTGTGGCCAGAGTGGGTGCAGCCTACTGGGTGGGTGTGGCCAGCTCTACATCGTTCGCGTCAAGGGTGCCTGTGGGGGCTTGGGCAGGAGGGGTACAGATCTGAGAGTCTCTGGCAGAAAGGGGTGGGACCGGGGCAAGTGCCAAGGCATGGTCCATTTCTTCATTCCTCACAAAGGGCGACACCTCCCCAGCATGCACCCAGGGGGTGGGGCCGACGCGGCAGGGGCTGGTTCCTTACTGTTTCTAGACGGCCTTGTGGAGCTAAGACTGAATGTGTTTCAGCATAGATGGCCACCGCAAAATTGTACATTGGCTCCTGGCTGGCCTGGGCCAGGGCCAAGGCAGCAGGGGCCGTTCCCTCGCTGTTTCCAGGATGGCTTTGCGGGCCACATGAAACCACTTCGCGGGCCGCATCCGGCCCCTGGGCCTTGTGTTTGACATGTCTGCCCTATGGGAAACTTTTTTTTATTATGTAAGCTATATTATTATGCAAGCTATAAATATAATCTGCTTTAGTAAAACTTGCTTTACTTTTTATCTAATCTATTTGCATTCCTGAAAATATATTGGGGTATTTTATAAAAGCATCATTTGCAATGCACGCCCCAATTTTAACATTAAAAATATTCATACTAAGAAAGGAGTTGAAATACTTGCCTATTATGATCCTCGACAATCAGGAGTTTCACTTTGCTTGTTTACAAATTAGCCTACATGTCAGCCACACTTTCTTATGCTTTTTCAACTCTAATCTCCTACATCAGAAGGTCTAGAATATGCTACTACAGAATATACTGCAGTATGTGACACCTAACTGCATATTGCTTTTCCTCTGTCAATTTAGATTATAATACTCAATCTATGAGATATTGTTAAACTCTTACTTTCCAGCAGTCCCAGCTAGCATGGAAAATTATAAAGTATTTTGGTTTAGGAAAATGTGGAGGGATGCAAATTCTCCACACCTGAATTAGAAGGAATGAGAGGCTCATAACAGCAATGCCTTTTCTGTTGTGGTGCTTGCCTTTGGAGTAATGTCTTCTCCGAAGTTTGGTTGACCCCAATTCTTTTAGTCTTACCTGGCTTTCATACCAAAAGGAGAACTAGAGCTCACGTTCCCTCATTTTCTAGTCAAGCACCTTAACCATTACACCAACCTGGTACTTATATTTAACATAGTTTAGTCTTGGTAACTTTAAATCTTTTTACTGTACCTGAGATTTGAAACCTTTCAGGTTTTATAATGTGGCAGCCATGAGATAGTTTTGCTTGCTTATGGTAAACATAAATGAGTGAATTTCTTATGTTAAAGATATGTTTACTGGAAATACCCAGGCAAGTTTTAGAAAATTTAGCAGTTTGTACTTTTAATGGGTTTTAGAAAACAATGAAACATTCATTTCTAACTTGTATGCCGTTTGCATCAAATATGATTAAGTTCTTAAATATCTATTTTATTTAACCATTACTGCAACTTCAGACATAATAGAAGTTACTTCTATTAAGTAGAAATAAGTTAAGTAGATTCCTAAACTGGATGGTCCAATTACTAATATTAACTTAGATGTGCTGTACTTCTAAGTACTTCTATTACTTCTGGTAAGTAATGCTCTATTTTATAAACTCAACTCCTAGCTTTATACTTATTTCTACTCTATTCCTATTGTGAGTATAAAGCTGTGAGAAGAATATAAAGTATAAAGCTCTCAAAGCCTGTCACAAACTACAACTACTTTGTCATAGAAGAATTTCTGAATTGTTTAGCATTGTAAGAGATGGGGGTAAGAAATACTCATTTTGCAAGCTTCCCATTATGTTAGTTCAGAGATTTGAGCTCAATATCCTCTGCTTCAACACTATTGTGCAAAAAGCTTAGAATTGAGCTGTGTTTTTAAAATTAAAATACATTTTTATAATACACAAAAATGTATGAGCATTAATTCAACATGCTCTAGAAAACATCTAACTGGGATTGGGTTTACATGGAGGGCAGCTGAACTAATTTTAGATGAAATCAAAAAATATTTTTGGAGCCAACCTAATATTTTCTGAGTGTTGAGAATGGAACAATGTTATGTAATAGAATATGTTTTAAAAAGTAATGTAAATGTTTTCAAAATTTGGCTCTAAAAGTGTATGCAGGTTTTTTGGAAGCCTGGGTAAGTCCTTCAGGTCAATTAAAGAACACTGAGGGGTTTTTTTTAGAAGTGTATGAAGAAGTGAAAGTTACAGATTTTTACATTTATAACGGCAGTAGATTCCTAAACTGGATGGTCCAATTAATAATATTAATTATTTATTTATCTGGTACATTTAAGCATGTTCATAAAACAACTGAGATAATTTTGAGTTAGATTACAAATGTCCTTTATTTACTTCTAAGCTGCCCAAGGTTAGTATGCTCAATTGCTTAAGAAATATTTTTTTCAAATCCAAATTTCATGTAACATCTAATTAAAAAGCAGTTTCCTCTATAAATTCTCAAATTATGATAAACATTCTGAATTAATTATAATACATAAATGACATATTACATAGTTAATAAAAAGAAAAAAGGACAGAAAAGAATTGCAAAATATGTCAATACTGATTTTTACTCAGTTTGTAATATCTGACAGAAGGTGGCGATCTATACTTACTTTGAACACTACATAATGCAATTCTACTTAGAATTCTGTATATGAAAAGAAGCATAGAAGGAATATGAGCATTAACATGATTTTTACTATTAATGTAATTGCTTTCATATGCTAACAATTAGATACCATCTATTTCCAGTTTAAATACTATATTTCAAGTAGAAAAATAATGCATATTATTGTACAGGAGCAAGTTATATGTATGACTTAGATATGATAGGAATACTTACAGGCATCTCTAATATATAGCAACATAGCTAAGAAAATGTAGTCAACCAAATCAAGAGTGATGCTGTCAGCAAATAAAGCATCCCACACAACAAGAAGGTCCTGAAGGAGAAATTCTCGTCCAAACAGAAGCCTTATCCATCTCCTAGAAAGAAATTCCAAGGAACACATCAAAAACTGCTTATCACAGATGAGAAATAATAATTTATAGAGAAATCCAATGCAAACAACACTCCTTACTAGCACTGATAATGTTACCTAGTTTGGGTAATGAAATGTCTGCAAGAAAACAAGCAAGCTCAGAGAGCACCAAGAACCCCTCATAATAATTTATTAGATACCTAGATGGTACTTAGCTGGATTTACACAATTATAATTGGAGACACATTGATGATTCATTTTTGAACTTTTGGTATGAAAGTAGTTCTAAGAGTAGATTTCCTCCCCCCTCTCCCCAGTATGTAAGCCTATATATGGTTTAGAAAATGTCAAATTCTGCATTAACCTGATTACATAAAGAAGTGTAAATAGTGTTTAAAAGCACTATTTTTGAAATGCTATTAAACTGGTTGTTCGTATGCCTACCAAGCTTATATTCATGATGAGTTCAATTATAAAAAGTTGTTATGGAACTGATCAAATGTTTATGAAGTGTGCCTTCCTTTTAAAAAGTGTCTTAGGAAACTGAACCAAATGCTTTGTTTAATAAGGCATTAATCCAAGTTATTAAGTAGACATTTATATTATCAAGTTATAACCATTGCAAGTGCAATGCAGGTGTAATTTTCAACGGAGTTTTATGCTAATAGCTGATGCAATTAAAACTCAGAAATATAATAAAATTCTTCATATAATTTAAATAAACAAACACAATATATCTCCCAAATGCTACAAATCAGAGCTCCTAAAGGAAGAGGAAACACCGAATCTTTACACAATTTACTGCTAATTATATCACGCAAGATGTGGAAGATTACGTCTTGGTGACTACCATATAGAAATTATTACTTTTTGCTGTTACAAATATTACTCAGGCTGTGAATGAAATCTTTTTCTTTGCATCAACGTTTATGATTCACAGATTGTGAAATTTGTACTAGAAACAGATAAAATTAATACACTAAAAAGAATATTTGTTTCTGTGAGATGGGAAAGGGCAATATATTGTGATATAGTAGGATTCAATTTTTTAAAAATCAGAAATCCCATTTTCTTTTGTATCATTTTATTATATGGCAGGCATGTCAAACTCGCGACGTCACATGACATCGCGCAACGTATCGGGCCGGTTTTGCCATTGCTGGCAATGAGGTGGGCGTGGCTTCCACGTGACGTGTCCGGCCCACAGGCCGGCAGTTTGACCCTCTTGCTATATGGCATTAACTGCGGATACTCAAGTTAGTCTGGCATTTTTTTTTAAAAAAAAAAGTCTCTTGAGAATATTAAGCATTGGAACGAAGAGTTATTATTTTTATAGAATTAGAGAATTAATGGATTTCTCTGCTTTTGAAATCATAAGAATATCAGCCTTACAGAATTGACGGGTATATGCAATTCACACAATTGAAAGTTGTTGTATTTTAACTGCTATCTGTACCTTTTCAGCAACAATGTAGTATCCAATAAACCAAGGACCCCTAAAATCTCTAAATAGCTAGACTACAGCATGCTTTCTCTTCCTATAAAACAAAATAGATGCTCTAAAGAATTACGTCTGAGTCAGAATGTTTTTATACAAATTAACACACTTTTAGTGTTCTTTCCAATATGTAGATATAATCTAAGTTTCACTTAATGATACCATTGGACAAGAGGAGTCCCTTTCTTTTGAATGGTTGTATAGTTTAATTACAGTTCTGTCCCGTTAATTCTAGCCTCAAATCTGCTACACCTGCAGACTGTAATACTCAAGATAGCGCACCCTTTTATCACATTTCGTAACACAATAATTTGTATTTACCACACCAACATAGAATTGCAAATCAGCCTAAAATACTGAAGGACTTTTTAAAAAACAAAAAACAAAAAAACCCACTAATAGTTATTACTATTTCCTTACTAAAAGGCATAGTCCTATATTTTACACATGATTTCTGTGTAATTAAACCTTAATATCAAAACAATTTATAATCACTACCTACAAATGGTAGTTTAATAATGACCTTCAAGAGAAATATTAATATTCTAGAATGACTTTAAAATATTATTTAAAACTTGCAAAAGCAATTATTTTATTAAGGATTACCAGGAATAACTTATGAATGCAGCTACAAATCATATATAACTGGATTACTGGTATGACAAATAAATAAAATACAAAAAGTGCTATATACTATCAAACTATGATTTGAGTACCATTGTAACATCTGATGTTTAAATTTTTAGAACAGAAACATAATGAAAAAAATAGTATAAATACATAGTACTATACAAAATAGTTCAAGAATATGAGACAATTTCCTATTGAAAGAGGGGTGAAATTTATAAAGGACACATATCAATGATCTATTGTTGCAAGTAAAATATGGATTTGTCTTTAGATATTATATAATCCATTAGCCCATTTCCATGTATAAAATATTAAGAATTTCTCTTGTACAATTCATATACTGGTATACTACCCCGATTTTTTCATTTTTGAAGCAGAAAAATGAAGCATTTTTGATAGTTGCCAAACTCAATGGATACTCTTTTATAATGCAGATTAAAATGTTGAAATAGTATGAAAAATCCAAGCTATTCAATTACTGCTACAAGTTCTAAACTATTTGTCCAACAAGACTATTATCCCACCCTTTTTTAAAGATTAGACTCAAATATTCTTGTATAATTTCTTATTTCCCAGAGAAAATGAAAGAATTCAGGAATGAATAACTTCTTAAATAGTGTTTTCCAAAAAGTGATCTTTATTATAGTGAAAAGCAAACTATATTAACAGTTTACAAATTCAATAAAATCCCTTACTAATTAATACATTCCTATTAAAAATCTTAAGCCATCCTCTCTTAAACATGCACTCAGTGACTGTGTAGACACTATACTACTATACAAAATAGTTCAAGAATATGAGACAATTTCCTATTGAAAGAGGGGCAAAATTTATAAATGATCTATAGTTTATCCACATCTGACAAATGTACAAAAAAAATTCACACACCTTGGAAATTTTGCAATTTATTTGGATTAATATTATTGTTTCTGTAAAAAATATCACAATATAAAACCATAGTAACATATTCCCCTACTGCACTTTGTTCTCATAACTTTCATTCTTTATAAAATATGCCGCAGATTGCTTTATCTGAACTAAAAAAAAGCTCCCATATTCAAAATGGCATCTTGAAAATTATTGCTTCTCCCTGAAATTGGTATGACTTTCTTTAGTTTTCTTTCATTATCTTCTTTTAAAAGACTTTAAAAATAATGTGGTTACTCTTATTATTATTGTTAAGAGAAGTAGGGTAAATAAATTGAAATAGGACAAAAATTATATTTTGCTTTATCACCTACTGTTAGTATTGTGGAATCTCTCTTGGTTTCATCATTTTTATTCATGAATATTGAAAGATGTGTTGCTGGAAGAATGCATCAATTCAGACAGGTATACACATGTATTTATAATTTTAATAGACAATATAACATGACAATGGCAGAAATGCTGCCCCAGATCTAATATATACCAACATGAATTTTGCATGTGGGGTACTGATATTTAGACTACAAGACTATATCTCTCCTTTACACTCCCAACTGAACACATTGTCAAGGATAGAAAAGGATGGAAATAGCATCATTCTCTATTCAGAGGGAAACCGCATATGCATTAAACCGAATGCTTGAAAAAGAACTCAGATGTGATTAAAAATAAAAGGAACCACAACTAGTAGAGACAGCTTGATAAAGTGGCAAGAAAGAAAATTGTTTGCATGAATTCATTTCTCTATTTTCTCCCATGTAAGTGATTGTTTTTCATTGTAGTGAAGTAATGTGGTAGGAAAAACTGTTAGTGAGCTGTTTAGTCCCAAAACCAACTACCAAAACATCTATGGGTAAAATGATGTTGTTTCTTTTCTTTTTGTAAAAACTTAAAGCACATACTTGGTTTCCAAAGCTTTCTGCCAAGCTTAGCCATTAATAGATATGAAAGAATAAAGGCAAATATTTGATTAAAATATTAACTCCAGTTTTAGAACATTTTCTAATGATGCACACTTTTCTGGCTTTATGGTCTGCCAATGGGTTGGAATTAACAGCACCAAGCACCCTCTTATCCTATTTAGGAATTTTGGAAATTGTACTTTCAGACTAGCTGGACAGCACCAGGTTGGGGAGGTCTGTTTTAAGCTTCAAGCAAAGCCTGTTTTCAATTTTGGTAGCTCAGGCCACTTGGTCAGGAAGCCTATAGAACATTCTGAAGGACATTGTTCTGGAAATTCTCAATCAAAGAAAAACTAAGTCTTCAAAAAGCAGAAGCAGAATGGATTTATTGTCACAACAATATTTCATGTTATGCCTACATTGACTTCTGAAACTAAATTAAACTGCCCTTAAAAGGCCATAGACAGCAGTCCATTTCTATCCATTAGTTTGGCTAATAATGCCTTCATATATTCATGAATAAAGTCATTATCATCAATCTTCCAGTTATACTGACCAGTTGAATAATTATTTATGCATATACCCAGGAAATCCTGGGTGGCTTCTTATTGCCTATACAATTGTTGAAAGACCCAGTGAACATTCAAAACATATGGCAATGATGATTTAAGCATTCACCTAAGCAAAAAAATGCTAAATCAATGCTTTATTTATATCTTTAGTTCAGATGTAGCATATATTTTTTGACATTCTTGAGCTATTACAGTACTACAACTAAACTGCTAGGCTGCACTTGGCAGTGTTAAAAATATGCCATGTAACCTTTTTAAATGCTATTTAGCAATTTAAAAACTTTAAAGCAAAGCTGCATATAAGTTCGTACATTTTAATGTATGATTTATTAATTTTACAACACAGTTTTGGCATGTAGTTCTTATATTTGCTGCTTGTTAAAGAATGATTGGGTAATGAAGTACTTCACAGTCAAGTCCCATAGATTTCAATTAGGATTACTCCAGGGCAAACATAAGTAGGATAGCAGTCATA